ACCCACACACACACACCCACACACACACACACACGCACAAAGACCCCCACACACACACACATGCACAAAGACCCACACACACACACACACACACACAAACACCCACACACACTCACTCACACACACACGCACACACACACAAACACCCACACACCCACACACACACTTTTTGCACCAGAAATCCCTTCTTCATGAGCATCTTTCCCTGTCTGTGTGTTTGCTGTCTGTTCTGTTCCGCTCTGAACTGTTTTATAGAGATGAATCAAATGAGAACGCTTTCAGATCAGACTAAATCACACGCCCTCGTCAGTCACTCAACCTGTCCGACACGATCCTAAACCACTGCTGTGTGTGTGTGTGTGTGTGTGAGAGAGACTGTGTGAGTGTGTGTGTGGGGCGTGTATGATCTCATGACACACACTCGTGTTCTCACTCTCTCTCAAGCGTGTTAGCACACGTCACACATTTAATCATCTCCGGAGGTTCAATTACATCCCATAATAGTGGATTAGTGGATATGAACTCATTCAAGTTTCTTTGAGGGTTTGGCTTCATCTGTCACCATAATAATTTATAAAAACAAATACATTATATAAACGCATTTTATTTTTACAACATTTTGTATTATATATATATATATATGCGCATGTCTGCAGCTCTGAGCATAAGGTCAAAGGTCATGTGGTGGTCACAGAAGCTCGCTGAGATCCACCGTGTCTCAGCATCTGCTCCCACAGAGACCGTTCCCGTGACAACGCAAACTTGACTTCCCACAATGCACCCTGACAGGAAGTCAAACACACAGGAAGTCAGGAAGAGACGCTCCGCAACTATAAACAGCAGCAGAGGAGGAACAGATGAACATTAGAGTCAAATCAAAACTCAAACAACCGAAAATGATATTATTCTACAGAAATCTACATAAGCTTTCATGAGAACGTAAAACTCACTATATATGCGTGTATAAATTAATAAAATAAGAAATAAAATGGTAATATACATTTTACTTATATAAATATAATATGAAAATATATAGAATACAACAATTTTATATGTATTGTTTTATTTTTTTATTATTAATATGTTTTATTCTTTTTATACAGTAAAAAGTATATAAAATGAATATAAAACAAAACAAAAAAGTTAATATTATACCATTAGAATTATTTTATTCGATATTTATTATATTTATTTATAAATATATACAGTACAATATAATTTTATGTTAATTTTATTATTTATGCATTATATATATACAGTATATAATAAAACATCTAAATTAATATAAAATGAAACAAACAAGTTAATATAATACAATATTAACCATTTTATTCAATATACAGTTTATTTATATATAAAAATATATAGAATACAATTTTATATGTATTATTAATCGTTATTTACTATTTATGTGCAATATATATATATTTATACACATGCACAAAACAAATATTAATTATATAAGCTAATATAATTATTAGATATATAATTAGATACTATAATTATACACATTACCTACATTTAAAAACATCTCATTCATCTAGAGACACGTTCAGCATCACATCAGTTCATTCAGAAGTGAAGCGGCTCTTTCACGATGACCTTCAATCATTAAACCGGAGCAGGAGAAACATCTGATCGATCAATAACTCAGACACAGCTGAGGGTCAACGCTGTGGAGCGACTGCGAATGAAAGCCAGCGCAGACGAGAGCAGACGGTTGGGAACAGTTTCCCTTTCAGAGCCCAGCAGAAAACACACGGCCGGCAGGAAATTCCTCAGGATGAGAGCGGCTTCCAGTGCAGGAAATTTCCCCACTGAAAGAGTGCGAGTGTGTGTGTGTGTGTGTGTGTTTACTCAAGCACACACACTCGCACTCTTTCAGTGGGGAAATTTCCTGCACTGGAAGCCGCTCAAACTTCACAATTTGAATTCTGTTCAAGATTGTTTAGAGGACGTTACAAACCAGACGGTGAAACGCTGAAGCTCAAAGACTCATGAACGATGCATTTATATCCACAGATGGCTGTGTGTGAGTGTGTGTGTGTGTGTGTGTGTTAGAGAGAGAGAGAGAGTGTGCATGCGTGCGTGTGTGTGAGTGAGTGAGAGTGTGTGTGTGTGTGTGTGTGTGAGATTGTGTGCGAGTGAGTGAGTGTGAGTGTGAGAGAGAGAGTGTGTGTGTGTGT